TTCTTTACTCCATGCATATATAAAGCAATATTTGTAAGAATGAGACAATAAGATACCGTGCCTTTAGGCACATAACACTATCGAAAGCGAAAGAAATGAATCAAACCCCCAATTGAGTTAGTCCAGCACATACAACTTGCAATGAAGGTGAACTTTATTGCCAGCATGTAGGCCCCTAAGTATTATAGCCGTTGTAAATTACACAAAAGATGTCATACATTTTACATAATATGTAAATAATATTTACATATTTTTTAAATTTTCATTACTTTCGATTGATTGCCAATTTGTTATTCCTTAACAGTTGTCTATTATTTTTTTTTTATTTCCATTTCTTTCATGTACCTTTCTTAATTGGCAATCATCCTGAAATCCAACGTGGAAGCTGTCGGACTTCTTTATTGTCCATGGTGTTACTTCACTGCCATAGGCAGGTTTCACCATGGACCTATTAATAAGATAGGTCCATGTTTTCACTATGATTATGAGATGTTTGATGATTGCATGATATCCCTAATTATAAATATACACAATCTTGATTCACAGTGCTGGTAGTTTACATATGTAAATATTAAGAAAAAAAATGTTGGCCGCCATCTTGATATCCTATATGGCAGCCATCTTGAAATTCAATATGGCGGCCTTCTAACATAATTTCTGATATCTGCATGATACTCCCGGATATCGAAAACACGAGTAGAGATCTTTGACAGTGCTAGGTGTTGTAGATATGAAGATATTTACAACATTATCAATAATTAACATGACGGCCATCTTGAAATAGTATGGCAGCCATCTTGAATAGTGGCATTCTGACATAATTTCTGATGGCTGCATGATAGTCCTTGATATCGAAAACATGGGTAACGGTCTTTGATTGGCAGTGCTAGGTGCTGTAGATAAGATATTGACAAAAATAGCAATAATTTGGCGGCCATCTTGTAATCCAATATGGCAGCGCCATCTGACAGAATTTCTGATGATTCCATGACACTCCCTGATATTGAAAACATGGGTAATGATCCTCAGTTGGAGTGATATGTGATGTAAATATGAATACATAGGCTAAAATTAATTATTTTGGCGGCCATATTAAATTTCAAGATGGCTGCCGTCTTAAAATTTAATATGGTGGTCTTCTGACATAATTTCTGATAGCTGCATGGTAGTATCTGATATCGAAATCATGGGCAACGGTCTTTGATTGACAGTGCTTACTGTAGATATGAATATTGACAAAAATATCATTAATCTGGCGGCAATCTTGAAATCTAATATGGCGGCGCCATCTGACATAAATTCTGGTGATTGTATGACACTCCCTGATATTGAAAACATGGGTAATGATCTTCATTTGGCAATGACATGTGCTAGATATGAATATATTGGCTAAAATCAAATATTTTGGCGGCCATGTTGGATTTCAAGATGGTGGCCATTAGGAGGCATTATTTTTTGGGGTCTATTTTTTTTAATGATCTTTAGGTGTCATAGTATCACTGTGGGAAGTTTCATGCTTTCTTCCAGAAGTGCACGATTCCACCTGAAATTCAACCTTAGCTGCTCTGCTACTAAAATGATTTGTTCCATTGTTGTGGTGTTTATTCCTAATGTCATTTTTCCTATTGGCAATTTTTCGTTATATTTATGCGTTATTATACAACTTGGATGGCTACTCATACAACATTTAATTTCATTATAGATTCCATAATAGTAAATGTGTCCGTTAACCTATATATGCTTTTTTCTCTTTGAATATGAACTAGAATACCAAGTAGCATGTACGTGGTAATAATCGTAAGAGGAATAATTGTGATATTTCAAGGAATTCACATAATTATACAAAAAAAAAGAAAATATTTTTTAGATAAATCATCATCATCTGCATTATCATCATGCCAACATCGCCATCCTCAGCAGCATCATTATCGTCATTATCATGAACATCGTCATCACCGTTTTTGTCGTCGTGATCATCAAATTCGTTTTCATCATCGTCGTCGTAAACATTATCATCATCATAATTATCATCGTCATCATTAATCTCCATCATCAGAATCTCCACTATGATTAATTGATTGGTTAATTGATTGATTTGATTAATTGATTGGTTGATTGATATATGTATCTATAGTGAATGGAAATATGGATTGATAAATCAATAATTCGGATTGATTAACATCTTCTAGATTGACTGTTCTAACGGAATGCGTATTGGATTTGAAGCGATACCCTCACGATACTCAAGTTTGTTCTATCAGTATGGGGAGTAGTAGGTTAACGTTTTATTCATTTTTCCATAACTAAATTTGATACAAGAATTATTGCAGTACTTCCATTATCACTCTAACCAAAGATATGCTTGTTGCGGTGTCAATGCTCGTTCGCATTTTCTGATAAAAGCCGTTTCCGACACGTCCTAGTTTTAGATGTGCTTTCTTTTCCCTGTAGATACGTACTCTGAATCCGACTTGATTTTCCAGTGGCTTATTGAAGACAGTGACAACGCATCTGTTGATATTGAATCAGGTGACTCCAAGGATATCAGATTGTCTCAGTTTTCGTTGCTCGGATGGAAGACTATACGCTCAACCAAGCCATCAGTCCGCATTGGTTAGTAGTTTTTTAGTTTCTATTCCATATATTCACAACACTTTATGTTTAATCAGTATTTGCTACTTTTTTCAAAGTGCTTTGCTAATTTTTGTCAGTAGTTGTCATTTAGGTTATTCACAAAGCTTTTCTTACTTTAGTCAGTAGTTGTCATAATATATTCACAACACTTTGCTTAATAAGTTTAATCACTAGTTGCCATTTATTCACAACACTTTGCTTATCAGTAATCATATATTCACAACGCTTTACATAAAAAGTTGGAGGCAGTTTTGCATTTTTTTTCACAACACGGTGCATCGTTTAGTCAGTAGTTGTTTTTTTTTTTAAAGATTTTGCTACCTTAAGTCAGGCCTACCGTAGTATTGCATATTACTACTGCCAGTGTTTACTAAGTCTGAATCAGTTGCTATTACCTCGTCCTCACATTATTTCAACCCTTCTGCGTCCATATCATAATTATTTACATACCATACTTACACTATTGTGCTTTAACATGCAGTTCTTTACCTAACTTCAAACATTCTATTGATCAATATCGATTTTAGATATTTTAAACATATTAAATCACATCGCATAACAATCAAGGGACAGATTGTATTCAAAGACGGGTTCACTCTAACCTTTACAGATGGAGATCTACATTCGGAAATGTTGGCCTGCCCTCATTTTATTTAAAATTCCGGATTCATCCGGTAGATTATTCGTTATACAGTATTTTGCTTTTAAACCTTCTGTGTTTACAACGTACTTGTTTAAACAGAAAATGTATACCATTCGCGGTATTGTGTTCACATTACGTTGCTACAATCGATTTGACCTCATTACATTTTCATATCATATTTAGTTCGTTATTGTTTCTTCGACACTAAAGACGATAGAATCCTGAGTCATTTTCCTCTTTTAATACTTTTTGTATACTAAAAATGGATCAGAAATTCAGGTCATAGCCAGCATGTACGAGCTAGTACAATTACCTTTATCAAATTGCATTCAGTACTGTGGGGAAGCTAATCTCCATAATCAATAAAGTAAACGTCCCATAGCTTTATATATTTAATCAATAAAAACATAAACCCTAGTAGTAAGATATAATGTCTAAAGAACGTGTACCTTTATTGAACCGTATTATTGTACCGGTATTTGTTTTGTAGTTGTAAAATAAATGGATTGAAAAAAAATGTGTAAAAACTGTACAACTCGTATAATAACAACGCCTATTGATTTTTCTGTTTACATTTAATGTAAAAAAAAAATCAATAGGCTATATACTTTTATTGTACGAACCTATTTAAAAGTAAAGCACTTTCTTGAACATAGTGGACTACTGGGCGGAAGCATTCGAATGGAAGGGTGGTCCATAAAAAGAATAAATACGAACTTAATATCAGTTTTGAATTATAATGATATATAGGGCCTATAAATGTAGATTTAAGGTCTATTATATAGAGCCCATATACAATTTAACGTCGACAGGAATTCAAATCCAAGACCTCTTGCATATACACGGCTAGCTTAAATAGCTGTCATTAGTCTCACCTCTTAAATGCTTTCGAGTGGTTAAAAACATGCGACGTTTACTTCGAAAGGTCTCAGGTTCGAATGCCAACATTCTATCTACCCAACAATGCAATGCGTTAAAATGATAAAAGTTTGTGTGCGTGTGCCCACCTCTTGTCAACAACGTTTCTACATGATAGCTCGATGGTTGCCGATGCTAATTTACAAAATAATCGAGTTAATATGTTGATAATTAGAAAAGCAAACTGTGTTGACGTCTGGTAATTGTGTTAATATTTCATCATCACACGTTATTATACTAGTCGCCGTGGAGACATTCAAAGAGGGCGCATGACGGTCCCTAAATAGATGTAATATTGATTATTTTCTTAGTATTTTCTGTTGTTTAGTCGTTTTAAATGTCGACTCGAGGTACATATTCTAGAGATTCTTAATAAATGCCTCTCTTACCTGACACTATTCTTTACTGGTGCATTGAATCTTATGGGGCAATATGTTCTGCTTTTTGGCTTTGAATACATCACCCGTGCTACAGTTTGAAAGCAAGTTGTAGTTTTAAACATTTTAATATTTAATGTAATTTTTTTTAAATTTTTCATACCGTATCTTATGAAGGTCATGTGTTCATATTAACAAGAAAATATAAATAACATTTGTGTCTATATTGTTTGCTAAAATAATTAGTGCCTAGTTTATATATATATATTTCGGCTGGTTATGTTTCACATAGACAAAAAGTGTCACGGTCCTGAATGACGCAGGTAAATTTCTGCACCCACTCTCTGTAGTAATAATAAACTGACCAATCAACGGTAAAAATCATATTCATGTACGTACAAATTCGTTCCCGATTAGATAGTTATGGTACTGTAACGTTCTGCGATTCCTGGTGAATTACTAAAATTATTTCATGAATATTGTTTGTGTTAAGTAATTACTGTATGTTTAGCTGTTAAATAATTATATTAACAACTGTCCTTTCATCGAAGGGTTTCCGCCAACGAATGACTCCTTTGGGGAAATTACCTCATACGCGAAGCCTGGCCTTATAAATTCTACTGCGTTTTGCACAATAGGTACAGAAGACGTGCGCGTAATTTGCTCATTAATGTCATTGACGTCATATCCCAGGCTTATAGAAATTAATGCTTTGAAGAAGCTCGCTACGTCAGCTGTAACAGGAAAGTCGCGTATGATTTAATTGAAATTCATTTAATGGTAAATGTCTGATGTTCCTATAGGGTAACCTCTTGGCCCTCACACGAGGTAGAGCAGACTATGAGTTAAAATGGTCCGTGCACTACTAATACCAATAGCTCTCAGCTGTCTTCTACAACAGCGCGCCACTCTGAGGAACTGATTTTAATTGGGCCTGAATATCCAACTGACGGCAACAATAAGCCTATGCTTAAGTAAAAGCGAAACGTAGAAAGAAATCACCTTTTCATTTTTGGAGTGACATTCATACTATGTGTACTTAAGTTCTCTTTTTAACTTTTAAAGTTATATGGGTTATCTTAAAATTAGTTTAAATGCCGTATTGTTTTTTGGGGGGGTATTTGGGAGGAGGCGGTTAATAAGGCGATGAAAGACGTCCTCATACCCTCAGCCAACATCAAGACTATAGACGTTGATTACTGGGATTGTTTCAGTACTGTGGATAGGCCTACAGGTATACAAACTTAGGGAATTCCGTATCAGTCGTACCTCACTTTTAGGTTCATCTTTTCCTTATATTTTGAAGTTGTTATGTATCGAAAATGTGACTGCAATTATTTATTAAATATAAATATGTCTACACTTACTTGGCGTGTTACATTAAATGTGAATCAGACGAATTCGCAAGTGATTCGGGCTAAGGATCGTGTCAACGCATCTGGAGTTCTTAACCACTAAACCACTGCCCCACATATTTATGTTTCGTGTTATTTATTACGTCATTATTTATAGGTAACCGGACCGTGCTCACCGTAAACTTTGAACTGAAACGTAACATTGGTTTGTTCATAATACAGACGTACGTACCATGTTCTATGATGGTAGTCATTTCGTGGGTTTCTTTCTGGATCAACAGAGAGGCTACGCCTGCTAGAGTTTCGTTAGGTAAGTAGATTTAACAAGGAAGACCTACTTTTATATAATTTTCCTATAATTAATAATAGTAGTATTAATATTGATGATGATGATGGATGATGATAATCTCCTTTAGTAGGTTATGCTGTTTTGTTTAACCACAAATAAAATAAACAACCATTATTTAATTGATAAATCAGTCAATTAAAAAAAAAACATATGGAAAACTGGAAACAGAGGGCTGTATTTCACAACATCACTGAATTTAATTTGGTTTTTTTTTTCACACAGCAATTTTAACCATTTTAACAATTACAACCTTAAGCCTGACAGCGACGTCCTCGCTACCTCAAGTGTCCTACGTGAAAGCGATTGACGTCTTCATCTTCGATTGTTTTTGCTTCGTGTTCGCGGCACTTCTTGAGTTCGCTTTTGTAAGCTATTTCACTAAACGTAGGGGCGGTACGCTGCCAGAGATGGACGATGAAGACGACCACCTGATACGATGTGAAGAGGTAAGGCTAAGTAATGAACCTCTTCTGAGTGTTAATTAAACAACTGACCAATCAGAAATGGGCCTGGAGTACGCGCTTTTCCCACAAACGCATGTATTTCCCCCCTACGCACGCTGATCACGTTGTGGGAACTTATCAACAATATTCAAGGGAAGGGGCCTAGCGGAACGGTACATTGTACATAAACATTCCTTAATTATGTACTTAATGTAAGCATGTGTATTTTTAATGTTTCAATTATATAAATGTCTTTCATTGTATAGAAATTACAGCGAGCATGCTAATAACAATTTTATCTTTCTGTCATGATTTTAATACCATAAAATATTAAAGATAATTATGTTTTTTTTATTGATATTTGTATCACTTTACTTATTATTTTCAATATTATTTTACCAAAACGTATCTCTATAACTGATTAATGAATCATAATTTACAAGGATTATTGTCTCTATTATCATAAGATTAATTTAAAATTATTATTATTATTATTATTATTATTATTATTATTATTATTATTATTATTATTATTATTATTATTATTATTATTATTATTGAATCTACTCTACTGTATACTGTATGTTATTGCTTTTGTATGTTGCCCAGTAAGCTACATCTGTTTAATTTTTATTTCAGGAGTTAGGCTTAACTGGAATCGGAAATCATAGGAATGGGAAATGTAAGGGAATGTCACCAAAATTCAGAATGGCGTCGCCATCCTGGAAAAAGAAGTCCAGGTACTACCAGTGTTGCTACGACGTTCTCATGTGTTTCGTTGGCAGTATCCCATATCGCCAACAGAGGGCGCGGAAAATCAAAATAGGACAAGATTTTAACAGCGTCAGTATTATTGACCAATGGTCAAGGGTAGTGTTTCCTCTTATGTTCCTTATTACAAATATTATTTATTGGTTAACATTTGGTGATTTTTGATTGGATGGTAATTGTATATAATAACGAAAATTATTAATTTAAATATAACGGTATCTTTTTTTTTTAATTTTTTGTAATACTGTATTGCCGTTACCTGATTTTGTTGTCGAGCGAATTGAGTACAATATAGATTACAAAATTACTCGGTCATATCGCAATTTTCTTCCATTTGTCCGATCACAGGGGTACTCAATATGATATTGATAAAAATAAAAAGACCTGAATTGACCTTAGTATTTGGGTTGGTGGATTTAATACCGGTATCACATGACACCATTTCATAGCATTTTTGTTTCTATTTGCGTCACTCTTCACGAAAATATGGTTATGTTAATAAAGCTTCCCAAACACAATATTATGAATACAAGATTGATTATTCAATTTATATATCCAGGCTATGACTATTGTGATCGTAGCTAAGTCGTTGGGGAATAATTATCAAACACTAATACTGAAATCTGATTTAATGGACATTTCCGCTAAGCTCCACACCTTGTTTATTGTTGCTAAGGTCCAACAAAACGACAGTGCGTTTGTGGGACAACCATGGGGACAACACATGTGTTTGTGAGACGCGCGCGTGTTCCTGGTGCTGTTATAATTGGTCAGTTGTTAAGTTTGATTGTCTCTTCGGAAAGGTCTATTATCAGTGGTCATGAATACTATACTCTGATACCGTAAAACCTTGCAAGGAAGGCCTGGGTTTCTTTTTGTTTTTGTTTGTTTGTTTGTTGGTTTTTTTTTTGCGAACTTTGGATGCGCTTCTTTTCTTGGCTACTTTTGCAAAGTAATGAGGGGGCTTCTTTTCAAGATGAATGCTGTAAATTTGGTGAATTTGTATAATAAAACCATAAATAAGGCCACTGTAACATTATTCTGTGTCATAGAGTGTATTTAACTGGCATTAAATCACCAAAACTACTGTATAAACCAAGCTTGCTTTTAATTAATTAATTAATTAATGTTTAATTAATGTACATTGTACCGTATGTACTGTACTTCGAAAAGAAGTCTATGCTATCTTGAAAAGAATCCCATCTTTTCGAGGCTAATTTTGCAAACTAAAAAGGGGAGGGAGGCTTCAATTTGAGATGGGCTTCATCTCGAGATTAAGCCCACTGGGCTTAAATTCGAGGTTTTATGGTATAAATAATATAGCAGTGTAATGAATAACTTACCAGTGATCGTTTTATAGAGATCGTCAATGGGCAATACACCTTTTCCTCTGCTTGTTTTATAGTAAATTTTTAAACTTCGAGATATTTAATTCTGATTCCGAATTTCAGGAAAGCAAAATATGATGCTTCAACAGCGAGTACAAGAAGCTAGATGTGTATTTTTTCTGGCTGATATGTAAATAACTGTAAATTTGCATCACAAGAAAAATGATTATAGACCATCTCGTAGTATATATGGATATGTCAAGGTTATATGCATGAATAAAATAATTATACAATTAATTTAAATTTTATATAGTTTAATTTACATATAAATATCATTATTCTTTTAATAAATTCAACTTAATAAAATATTCTCTTAATACCACGAATATAAAACAGAATACATATCGGCCTAGGCCTATATTGTACATTGGTTATTTAGATGATAGTATAAACCAAATCATTTTGATATGTTTTCACCTTTGACTTAGTCTTGCGCAATTTAAACTACAAAAGTGATTAATAAATGAATTATGTAATATAAATTTTGACGCAAAAATATATAAATAAGAACTTTAAATAAAGGAGGATTTTTTAAAAATATATATCACAGGTATCGTTAATTTACTATTATATATTTCTTCTTTTATATCATATATCTCATTCTTTCTTATTGTATCAAAACATGTGAATACAAAAGGTAACCAAGATATAGCTCCCTCTTAAACTACATACATATTTCTATAATAATAATGATAATAATAGTAACAGTAAATAATAATATATTTGTTACTATAGAGAAATAAAAAGGAAAAATAAGAAACGGTGTATATATATGATATATATATATATACATATATATATATATATATATATATGTATGTATGTAGGCCTATATATGTATATATTATTATATGTGTATATAAAGTGTATATATGTATAAGCCTATATGTATATATGTGCATATATATAATTATATATATACATAATTATATATAAGTATAATTATATATATAATTGTATATATGTGTATATATAATTATATATATGTATATATATATATATATATATATATATATATATATATAAAGTTTGTACACCT